TTGTTCTTGCGCCGTGACAAAAACCTACCGGAAAATATTGGCGGCTTATGTATTAGTACCATAATAACAAATAGAACGAGGGGTTTTTCAGTGAAACTGATTTTTATACACTCAACATTCACATCTAGATACTTAGGCCAAGATATGCAAACCTGGCAGTATTGTTGAGTCTACGGCTGTTCAAATTTAGAACATAAAGATGAAATAAAAATGAATTGGAAAGAATAATTATTGGCCCACCTCGTAGTTCGTACGAATACTACCAATACATACGAATATCAGAATGAATAGCACTTAGCCATTTTCAAGGATGGATAATTATTGTCGAATCAAAGGGAATAAGCGATACAATTGTATAGCCTACATTTAAGGTCTATTTGATCGATTGTATCATCTAAATAAAATAAAAAAAACCCTAACAAAAATTATACAGTAAATTCGTAACATGCTATCACCGGCTAGGTTATCGTTATGCTTAGGGATGATTACAATTAATTGTTGGTAATTATTCTCAAACAGATGTGATATGGAATACGAATTAGCCTATTTATTGCATAGTCCAACTTCAGCAAAAGATCATGTAACCTGAAAACTATAAAGATATTTTCAGCCTAATCCAAAGTTCACTCTCGGTTACGGGTAGGCCTATGTAAAACAGCACTTAGGCTATATTTGTTTGAAACGCCAAGATAAAACAAAAAAAATTGAAGCCGCTGAAGTTTGCATAAAAAACGACGAAGCTTTGCATTTCACAGAATATTCCGTGACAAGGGAGAGGGGGGTTAGAACACAAAGGAAGCGAGGGGGCTAATGAATGGAAAGGGCAGAATATCCGTCCAGCACTTTACCGAGATTTAATACGGAAGTGGGCGGGGCTTAGAACGGAAGTGGGCGCGAGGTAGCTAAGTGCACGCCAAAAACAATAACAGTGTTAATCCAAGGTGATGGCTGAGACAGAGTTAGCGGCGAGGAGAATTCCCCATCTGAGCTGAGCACTAACCACAGCATCTCTAGCAAACATGGCGAGCGGCATAATGCGCACTGAGCAGCATAATGAGATGAGGTATTACGCTTTACGGAAACTATACAACTACTGCTAAGCATACAATTCAAACTTGAGAGACCACACGTCATTTGAATCCATAAATCTGCCTGAACGGATACTGCGAGGATCTAGAGAGTTATATACTGTACAGCGAGAGGCGGAAGGAGAATTGATGAGCGTAGGCTTGCCTGAGAGCCAGTTGTCTGCCCGCAGCATAAAAATGTGCTTGGCTATTCGTTAGCCTGACTTACTTCGTTACTTTTAGTTCACTTTGTTGGCTGAGGTGTTGTAAAAAAATCTCAAGCGGTAGCTCAAATTTTTAAAAGGTTTTTATGGTTTATCGCAATATATTTGAAGATACTGTACTAACGATAAAATCGAAACTACTTCAATAAACTAATAAATTATTTTGTGGGCAGCATTTTTTTTTAATTTCATTCCTAAAAATCGGAGTTGATTGAAATCGTATCAAAATTATTTTAATTGTTTTTTATTACAATATGTCTGTATTTTTCTACCATAGGCCTAGCATAATTTTGTAGAAACGTGTTTTAGCCATCTTTTACTTTAACCATTCTAGGGCTACAACTAAATAGAGGTTCGGGTTTTAAAACATGGTTATCACTGGTTATTTATTACTACTGTTAACTTATTAGCACTGGTTATAATAACTATCGGCGATGTCATTAATTAGCTGATTAAGATACGAGTATTTTAAACATTGTAATATATTCAATAGTAGCCTACTTCCGAATGATATAGATAACACTATCAGAAATGAGTAGGCTAATCTAGACTGTACATCAGTTACATTAAGATTGATGAATTGGTCGACTATCAAAACGTTATGTTTACTTGTAACTGTTATGAGATAAACTGTGATGATAAATACTCGATTGATATTGTTCTGGTGACAGTGATGGAGAAATGTCGATGGAAATTTTGTAAACGTCGTTTTGAGCGGGTTTACAATTCTGCGGAGATGACTTCAATGGCCTGGTTTTTGGGGTGTGATGCAAAGCTATCTGAATCTAGGTAATGGAAATGCTCGATCTGTATACACAAACATTTTCGGAATTTGGAAAGCTTGTAATTATTGGTCTAAACAACATTCCTCTGGTAAGATAAATTTGATCTGGACATAAAACCTCGGATTTTTAAAAGCCTTGTGGTTGACGGTCGAACAAAGTATCGCGTCAAGACATTCTAATTCAAATGAAATATATATCCGACGGGCTGCGGACTGTGGCTAGCGGACAAAGAGGATACTTATCCTGCGGATCGCATGACGGTGACGGGATGAAGAAGTGCAGCTGTCGCCGCTCGCCACTACTCCACCACGAGGCACGGAAAGCCTAGAAGTCTGTAACCCGAGTGAAGCCAAGTAGGTAGAGTTGCATAACCGGCGATGACGTCACAGTCCCACGGTCTCATCTAGACGTCATGGGCAGATACTGGGCCAAGTGGACTTATGATTTGACTAGAGTACATTCTTGCCCTTAATAAGCAACACACACAACTTATTGGGTTAGCCCTATTTTTTCATCAAGAACGCGATTGAGTCACAGAAGATTAAGTAGGCTAGTTCCAAGTTGAAAGTTGTACGGGACATGAGAAGGTCGTCGTCACAGCGGGCGGTATGGAGTATGGACGTAATTACTACCACTTCTTTACACAGGAAGTCACGCGGTTGAAACAAAGCCGTCGAAACGTGTGGTCGTCAGTCGTCAGAGCGGGGTTTATGGCGACCACCGAGCACAGCCAACAATGGCGGGATTACCATGATAAGGAGCATGCGGGCCCGGGGCCGGGGTTTCGGAGTTATAGCGCATAATGACGGTGCATGCGGCATGGAGCATGGGGGCGCCTCAATCACCCGCTGGGATATTAATAATACGCATTTAATTAGCCGGAACGCTACGTAATGATACTGCACGCCGAAAACGGCTCTGTTACCAAATGACAATTAACAATAATGGAGACGAGCGAGGTTGTAATTACGCAAAGTAATAGTACGTAATTAACCCAGTGTCGATTCAAGTATAATAAACTGTTGTGCGGCTAATGACGATTGTGACGGTCGAGGGACGGTGTGTCAACGGTTACGAATTTAGGAAATAATATCAAAAACCTTCAACGAAACGTAACGAATTTTATGAACAAGTCCTACAAAATGAAATCGTAAACGATAATGTGATAATGGTGGCAATTGTCCCGGAACGTCAGTTCTGTACCGTGAGTTACACGAAAGCCCAACACTAATCCAGTTAAAGCTATCTTTATGTCCCAGGTGATAGTGCAGATAGGGAAATCCCATGAATACAAACGTTATTGTGGTACGGGGGTGGTAAAGTAGGGGAGGTAACCACCCACCCTGACTCAACTCACTCTTACTTTGCTTTACTGTTTGTTTGCATTTGATCAACCAATATGCGTTGTCTACTACTTGTTATTTAACTTTTCCAAACAAATTATATAAAATGTTTTGGAGCAAAAAATACATTAGGCTAATTAATAAATAAACATTGTTCAGTTAAACTTTGCAATAAAATGGTACCGCGTATATGTTACATTTTGAAAAGTTTTTCAACTTGGTAGTTCAGTAGTTTTAATTCTTTTTTTAAGTGGACCTAGCAACGTAAAAACTATGCACGGTAGCGTAATTATTTGTCTAATGACAGAACGTTTCAATGTCGGCGTGAAGCGATAGGCACTGACGAAGACAAAGTGTCTGACAGCAATATAAGACAGGCATTAGCACAGAAGGCGCCAGTGTACTGTATGTGATGTCTGTTGTTTGTGCACTAAACTCGGCTATTTGGACAACGAGTAGCGCCGAGCAAACGCTGTTTATTTAATGACGTGAAACAACAGCGGGAAAGCCGCAATTCTCCGCTCATCGTCGTTTATTAACATAAAACCAGATTAATTCGCGGGGATGGAAACTAACGTAGACATTGGCGAATAAACAACAATAATGTTGGTACCGGTAACAAAAAATTATATATTATAGAAAAAAATTATCAGCTCCTTTTTTATCTTTGATCTGACGTTTAGTCTTGTTTCTGAGAACTGCAAGGTCGGACAGCGAGCAATACACTGTGTGTTACTGTAGCGTAGCATTAGTATACTAACTACAGATGTATGTTGCAGACGCGATGTTGGGGCACGCGATTGGTAACGTCCGATTGTCGGCAGTGCTCGTAAAATTACAGATCGGGCGACTAGCCAAATTACATTGGCAGCCGCGGGCTTCGATCAATAAAGCATCTAGAAATAAATTACTTTACGTCCTCTCGAACCCATCAACTGATCGAACAGTCCGGTCGCGGCATTTAAAAGAAAGTAGCCCCATAAATCCCGCAGCGGGAACTTTGTTATATGTACCGAGATTTACTCCCCGTGTGTTAGCGATGCGGGATGGAAGGGTGGGGTTTAACGGAATCGAAGGAGTACTCGACATGGACTTTCTTCCGTGAGAATTCCTCCCCTACTTCGGCTTCAAAGCCCCCACGACCCACCCTGACTCTCCCCCGACCGCGCCTAAAGTTTCACAAAGTTTTCACCGACAATCACTGGCACAAATTGGAAGTTATTTGATCGGCGTTATTTTATTGAATCGAGACGTTTTGTACTACTCTTTTAAAGATGCTTTATTTTTTGCAAAGTGCTGTCAAGTGTAACTGTGGGTAGGCGTGTTAATTCATATCACCAAATTAATGACTACGCGACTTACATGTGGTACCTGACCGTCGTTTGTTACGTATTAAACATTTCACTAACATGGGTAACGTCGATATTTGGGAAAGCTTTCACTTTCAAATAGCGGCAAACTCGGCCGCAGTTCACTTAAACTCTCGCTACAATCACAGGATGCAATTTGCCTTATCAAGACAAGAGAACACAATACACAATCCCCGGGACACACCACACACTGTAGACACACACTACACACCTGTGAGAGCCGTCAACACGGACTTGTCGTCCACGATACCACTGTCGGGACCGTGACCGGCGTGTAGACGTGACTCCTGGGTGAGCGGCGACGTATCCGTCCACTGGCCGACCCCCGACACGCCGGAGTCCCCGGACGACCCACACAACAGAGGATCCCGAGGAGGCTTGGTGTATCTAGGAGGCTGTGGCACTGGAGGGTACTGAGCCCCACGGGTCGCCGGCAGGTTGTTGATGAACGGTGATCTCCTCTGACTCTCCGCCCGCCTGTAATAACACGGGTGTATCATGAGGAGAGGTTCGGTCCTGGCCCCCGCTGGAGGCTTGGCCGCGTTGGGCAGTTCGTACTCAACACTACAATCCACGTGCAAGGGCCTGGTATAGTCCTTGCGGTCGTAGTACGACGCCATGGTGATCGCGCACACGCACTACACTCCGTCGCCGTCACTGACACTGCACCATCTACTCCGTACGATCGCCACAAGCGCCTGAGAGCGACTGACGACGGCCGCCGCGCCGCGCTCCCCCTCCCCCACCGCTCCACTCTCCCCCTCGCCACTCCACTCTCGTACAATCGATGGATGACATTTTAAAAGTGTGTGCGTGTCCGACACTAACGACCTCTTGTCATAATTGAGGACGGGTTGTCTCCGCTCTCCGCTCTGTCTCCCTACTCATTATCTTCTACCCTTTGTTCCCCCACCCACCCCCTACCGACCTTTTATTACTTTTTCAATTGCGACACATGTTTATCCTAGACACAGCCGACACATGTATAATTTTTCCTAGCCTTCAGTTTTGGGATGGCTTGAAGAATGGGAATAATATACGAGGTATTTAAAAATCATTTGGGTCTTTTCAAAACATTTTCAAATAATTGTCTACAAATGCAAATATCTTACAAACATGTTTTCATGCGTTTTCTTAATATTCAAATTTATACGTCATTATCTAGTTTGTTAAATTTTGAAGGAACTTATTTAATGCAAATTTTAATAACCTTAACAAATTGTTAAATATCTCCCTTTTATATTGCATTGACAACAATTGTCAATGTATGAATATCGTAGCTTTACTAGTATGCTAATATTTGGTGGATTTTTTTTTAATTTGAAGTCTAGTACAGTACATACTTTTGTATATCAAAATAATTCCTTATGGCCACAAGTGTGTTTGATACTGCCACACTACCAAGCAGTATTAAAATGGCACCACGTCATTACCCAGGCTTGTCTTGTATGTATAAGAGAGTGACTTGGTGATAACGACTGACGTCATGTCCTCCTCACTGAGGTAATGTGTGTTTGACAATATACACTACACTACAGTATCACTGTGTATATATATGGTGTAGAGACACGTCACTACCCAGACTTGTCTTGTGTAAGGGAGTGACTTGGTGATAACGACTGACGTCATGTCCTCCTCACTGAGGTAATGTGTGTTTGACAATATACACTACACTACAGTATCACTGTGTATATATATGGTGTAGAGACACGTCACTACCCAGACTTGTCTTGTGTAAGGGAGTGACTTGGTGATAACGACTGACGTCATGTCCTCCTCACTGAGGTAATGTGTGTTTGACAATATACACTACACTACAGTATCAGTGTGTATATATCTGGTGTAGAGACACGTCACTACCCAGACTTGTCTTGTGTAAGGGAGTGACTTGGTGATAACGACTGACGTCATGTCCTCCTCACTGAGGTAATGTGTGTTTGACAGTCTACTCTACACTGCTACACTACAGGATTTAGTGTGTAAAATTATATCTGGTGTACACAAATGTCTCTAGCCAGACTTGTCTTGTGTAAGATAGTGACCTGGTGATAATGACTGATGCTCAAATAAATTTCTTGAATTGAGCCGTATTTTACACGTATAGCGCCAACTATGTAGATGAAGTTAATCTCATAGGGCAATCCTACGGACTCAGTTGTTCAGCTGTTCAAAAGCTGGTGATAATGAATTCCCGGCCGCAGATTTGGCGACATAAAACCCACTAGGAACTATAAAGAATAGGAGGACGCCTTACTTCCCTGTGCGAGGGCAGAACTTGTTCTACGATTCTCACTCATGAAGGTGAAACTGGGGTTGGCTTTTGACTAGAACGTAGAAGTTTTGAAGCTGCACACAAGCACAATGGCTTGTGTAGGACTGATTCCATGTGGTTTAACATTGACTGTTAGAAACACATCTTTATATTTTGTATAATGCATTTTGTAGAAAGCTAAACCAAGGAACACCCCACAATGTTCGGAATCTTTGGTTACCTGTATTCTACCGTTAACACTTTGTTGTGTGCTACGATTCTCGGAGACAGGTTATAATCCTACTTCCTGGTCGGGTCCTGGCGATGTTTGTCCCTCCTAAGTACACAGAGGGTTCCGGGAACACGCAGCGATGGCGAAGACTCCGGGACAAAGCAGAAGTCTGCCGCCAAAACTCACGCCACGCTGCCCTTGCCGCGCGCCGCTTTGAAGTCCGAACTGGGGACAGTAAATCTAACATGACACCTTCCATAACGCAGTGAATGGGTCATCGAACTGCATCCTCCAATACGACGACGTTGCCGCCGAGACCTGACAGTACTGTAGAGGACCCCGTCACTCAGTCACTGTCACGGCGAATGTTGGCATGACAGGTGTACCAACTCTGCTTGACTGGGACAACACTATAATAAGTGACATTACTCATAATATTAGTCAGAGTGAAATGGCCACGAATGATGGACAAACATACCCAGATATGACATCGCGTGCACAGACAACCACTTAGCCCTTGATTATAACCGCTTATCCTTAAGATTACCTTATCTTTAATCTAATACCTAACCTTTGAGGTCTCCAGTTGAAAAGGTAAATAATATTTTGAGGTTATAAGTAGTGCCTATACATTAATTTAAACAATTCTAATCTCTCAATTTTCTCGTTTTCACTACACACTGTTATTCATATTATTTGATAGACATGCTTTAATCTTTATTTTATTGCTGTAGTAAAACAAGTTTAATTGTCAGTTCGTAAGTTTACTGTTATTAGTTATAATTTAACGATGATGGCGACTAATTAATATAATCAGCGTCATAAATTATTGGTTTACCACAAAACAGTATAGGCCCGGGGTGCGTTCACAAAGAAAGCAGGTTAAAAGTAACTTGTTTTCAGCGCTTGCTCCAAGCGCATTTCAATCTAGTTTTCTGTTAAGACAATGTCTTCATCAAGTGATGAAGAGTTATTTTTGCTTGAAAATGTCGAATTAAAAATTCGTAGAATAAGTATGTTTGGTGTTCATGCAATCAACCCCGGAAGAGGTAGGTTTGCGGAATACCACCATGTATTTCCTCAATTGACATTGGACAAAGTGAGGTTTTTTTCTTATATGAGAATGGAGTCAGCCAAGTTTAGTTACTCAAGAAAGTCTATGGTCTATTACTATTAGCATTTAGTTTGAGGCGTTTTTCCCAACTGGCCCCTCTTCTAAAGACTTGAGATACCGTACCAGTTCATCGGATATCCATGCCCAGTTGTTTGTCACTGACTGGTTCGGTCAACAAGCGCCGGAAAACAAGTACAAAACGTTCTTGCGCGCTTGTCAGAACTTGTAGCAAGCGTGCTATAGCCGAGGCAAGCTTTGTTTGTGAACTCACCCAAGAGAAATAAAAATCTTACTGTGTTTAAAGTCCTCATTACCTATTTTAAGATATAAAGTTAAATCTTCATATGACAAACGTTTAGAGGACGGCAATGTAACACGGATAAGTGCAATTATCCAAGGGCTACTATAGACCTACACTATAATGTGGACAGTTTGAAGTGCATCTGAGATCAGAGCCGCTACAATGCTACAATGCAGTTCCGAGTTGCGCCGGCTGACAGGCCACGTCATTATTCAAACTAGGAAGTGATTTAATTTACATAAAGGGAAACTCCCGCTTGCAGTTATATTTAATAATGCCACCTCACTGCCATCTCCAGGCAGTGCTGCACTAACAGATGATATTGGCGATATATTGTAGTAGGCATATAGTGCAGTTAGTGTATGATACTACAATCTTGGCAATAATGCACTATATTGCATTATTCTATCGCTTGCATTGTTCCACATTACATATATTTACGTTTACCGTTTATTTTTCCTTATTTACTCGTATTATTTGAACATTTTTATGAAAATCAAAGTTGATTCGTTATACTGTATGTTGATACAATAATGAAGATGGGGTTGACTAAAAACTCAGCAAGTTTCGATATAAACAAAATACAGGTACTGTAATAATTATAAAAAAAAATATTTCAAAGGTATATGATTCTCATTGTTAACACTCTACAAGTAAATATATGAAATTAATTATAGGGAATAGGGGGTGTTACTTTTGTGTCACAAACAAAGAGTTGTTTAAAACGAGTTATGAATTACGATTCTTTTTCATGCAATTATGCGTATACAGGCTAGGCTAGGGAGGGTGGGAGGCAAGAATCGAGAGTAAAAAATAATAACGAAGGCGAAATAATAACGAAGCGTAGGGAGCAATAAAGTAATTATCATAAATTGATAATTAGAAACTTGACTAATCATGACGAACATTGGTATTCTTTTAATGATAATTTTCCACAAATAAATTCCTGATGCCTCAAGCAGTACCAACTGTAGCAACTACAGAAACTGTAGCAACTACAGCAACAGCAACAACTACAACAACTGTGGCAACTACAGCAACTATGGCAACTGCAGCAACTACAGCAACTGTAGCAACAGCAACAACTACAACAACTGTAGTAACAGCAACAACTACAACAACTCTGGCAACTACAGCAACTATGGCAACTGCAGCAACTACAGCAACTGTAGCAACAGCAACAACTACAACAACTGTAGTAACAGCAACAACTACAACAACTGTGGCAACTACAGCAACTATGGCAACTGCAGCAACTACAGCAACTGTAGCAACAGCAACAACTACAACAACTATAGTAACAGCAACAACTACAGCAACCATGGTAACTGCAGCAACTACAGCAACTGTAGCAACAGCAACAACTACAACAACTGTAGTAACAGCAACAACTACAACAACTGTGGCCACTACAGCAACTGTGGCAACTGCAGCAACTACAGCAACTGTGGCAACTGCAGAAACTGTGGCAACTGCAGCAACCACAGCAACTGTAGCAACTACAGCAACTTTAGCAACTACAGCAACTGTGGCAATCGTAGCGACTACAGCGTTAAAACTAAGATCACACACAAACATGCTAATATAAAATTAAAATAAATTTACAATGAATTGGGTTGGCAGGTCTAGATTATACCACAATACAGCTGGAGCCATACTGCTAGTAGTTCATTGTTTTGTTGAACCAGCACATTAGCAGCAAATGGCCTACCATTTATCAGAATACAATTGACTTGGAAATCTATTAACCTTGTTTTAAGCGGTGTTTGCTCTTTCTAATTTTTAGGCTGACGCTTA